TATCAAAGTAATATTGGTACTACCAAATCCATGTCACGGTAACCAAAGAAAGCCTTAGAAGAACACCAACAAACAAAAACTCTCTATAATACTCCATTTGATCCTTTTGCGTTGTGGTATAACATAATCAAAACTAAGATCCATTTCTTCCGGAGACAAACAATCAAGACACACTCTGAATTAAAGTTTTCTCTGTAGCAGTTACTTTGATTTGATCTAGTTATAAATGAACAATACAAAATAATATTTGAGTTCAGGAGAATTTGTCGGCCATGGTGATGATATCTTGAGAAGAAGAGAGTAGATTAGTTATTGTTGGAATGAAATTGTACGATGAAATTCTTGAATCATAAAGGAGGAGACATAATTGAGTGATAAATATGGGGGGGGAGAATTAAGAGATAGTGGTTGATTTGGAGTGAAAGAGTTAATTAAGCAGATAATTAATCAATCCTAGTTTTAAGATATGTGGGTATCTAATAATCTAATTGTATCTTCAAATAATATATTAATATATGGTACAAAATATTAAAAGTGGTAATATATGTAATTGTTTGAAAATAGAGATAATACTAGTATATATAGTAGTGATGTATGTCTAATAAGGTAGTTTATCCTAACAAGATTGATGGATCCAGAATATTCTAACGTATACAGAAAAATATTTAAAATTTATGACCAAACACCTATTTTAACTTCAAAAAAATTCAAATTAATTAAAAAAAAAAATTATTTTCAATATGGCCAAACAAGTCCAATTGGAGATAATCGATCAAAAGCTCCTAAATTGACTTTTTTTTTTTGGCTTAAGTCATTGCGGCCTCTTAGAGTTGTCTGCATATTTCAGTTAACTTAAGCTTGTACCTATTGAGCACTTTAATCTTATCAAATTTCAGTTATACTTATTTAACGCAAAAATGAAAATCAGTTGAAAGATAAAAGTGTGTGTCTCAAACACAAATACATAGCTGATGGACCAATAAAATAATGACACGTGGCAATTGAATGCAATTTTTTTTTAATCTCTATTTAAATCATTCAAAAAAAAAAATTAAAAATTTATTTGAATTAACCCACCCCCAACCCCACCCCCCTTCTTCTCCTTCTTTTCACCCTTCCACCGGCGGCAACAGTCGCCAACCAAACTCTCACCTTTTTATTCTTTACCATTGAACCTTACTGTCCATAATCCATTGCCTTTATTTTCTTCCCAAAATAATCAGTTATTATCATAATTATATAAAAAATAATAACAACTTTTGCCGGAAAATATAATCAATTCGTATTATTTTTATCCGAAAAAATGGAATTTTGTTAGAACATTAACAAATGCCCAACATAGGGCAAATTTTCTAAATTTAGTGTTTCTGTTGTCTTCAACTTTAAACTAAAATCATTCTTCAATTGATTTATATTATGATTTTATAAAATAATTAAAAAAAAAGAGCGAGAGAAAGAGGAGAACAATGGTTGCAGTCTTGCAGAGGAACATTGTGGGAAGAAGACGGGCTTTCATTTATTTCTTTTTTAAAAATATAAAATAAAATTTAGGTTTATAAATGAGAAAATAAAAAAGGAAAAATACTATTTTTAGTTGCTTTACGCGCTCAAGGAGCGTGGAGCACACTTTTTTTTGTCATGTCAGTATTTTGTGTCAAATAGGAATGATTTTTAAACAAATAAAGTGTTCAATAGGTACAAGCCGTAATTGAGATGTCCAAGTGAAATATGTGGACAACTTTAAGGAGCCGTCGATGACTTAAGCTTCTTTTTTTTTTATATAAGTTTCATATCTAAACTATGTCTAATTTACTTTTTTCTTTGAATTATAACTTTCAAGTGCTAAACCCTCTAAACTAACTCATTTTTATTAATTTCATACTTAGATCATGCTTAATTTACATTACTCATTGAACTATATATAATTTTCTGGTGCTAAACCTCTTGCTCATGATTATATGTTATGTAGTATTATGTAAGTGTGTTCACACTCCCAATAACTTTTAGAAAATGTCAGGTGGCACTAATCTTGTTGACGAAATTCTGAAATTACTCTATTGTCTTCTTAATTTCTTCAGGCATGTTTCTTTACGTTTATTAATACACTTGTAAAATATACTCCTAATTGATTTATTAATTTTAATATTATGATTAACATAAAAAATAAAAAAATAAAAAGATCAATCCATGCCGCACCAATAAAAAATGTTCATGATACTTTTAACATTAACAACTTGCATACAAAATTTGGAGTGAGTTATGGCCAACTCATTAAATCAGCATATACAAATTACTTTTTTAAAAACAAAATGAGAAAGATATTATCTTCTTCCTCTGAGATCCTCTTTTTTCATTATTCTTTTTATTTTAATTATTGACAATTATATTTATAAAAATTGACATTTTCTCATCCCTCCAATTCCCTCTTAAATATAAATGAGAAGAAAAGTAATAAGGGAAGGAAACAAAAAATAAATAAATATTGAGAAAAAAAAAGAACATCAATTACTTTCGTTCTTTTTTCTATTACTTAAAAATGTAATTTATTTTAGGAGACCATTATGGAAATGGATTACTAATCTAAGATTTTTGACAAATTTCTGCGATTTTTGAGGTAAATATCACTATTCAATTCCTTAAAGAATATCTAACTTTATGCTTCATGTGCATAGCGAAGAAACAAATATAAGACACAAATTAAGAGGGAGTTTAAAAGTTTAATTCACAATCAAGCTTAATAGAAGATATGAGTGAAGTGTAAGCAATAGAACAATTCATAAACCTAAACCATTGCAATAGCCTATATGTAGCCGGGGTTTATCCGAATCCCTTTCGTTGAAAAATTATATTGTGTATAGGATTTATATTATACCCTTATATCATAAGCCAAAGACTTGGTTCACTAGTGAAGGGGTTTCACAATGTACCTTCTTTTCCACATTTTAGTAGTTTCAAGCCAATTTTTAATTATTATTTTTAAATAAATGAAACGTCCTACGTGGAAAAACCTGATTGGGATTAATATATTTCAAATCCATAATTGCAAGGTCAATATGATTTTTTAACTTCTTTTTGTTTTATCGTTCGCGTAGAGTTAATTTTATCTA